TGAAAAGAGAATTTGCTAGAGGAGATTTAGTTCTTGTTTTATCAACGAATCGTCAAAATAAACTAGAAGTACAGTGGAAAGGACCTGGAAAAATAGAGCAGAAAATTTCAGAAACCAATTATATTGTAAGTTTCGAGGAACAAAATGAGCCAAATCAAGTATATCACATTAACATGCTTAAACCATATTACAAAAGACCAGAAATGATTAATATGATAACTGAAGTGGAAGGAGACTTAGAAATGGACATTCCTCGTTTACCTTCCAATCCAAGTATATTAAATTTCTCGGACACATCATAGAGGAGAATGAACTCGAGAAAAGGTTGAAATCCGAGCAAATAGAAGATTTACGAAAGATTTTATGGAAATATTCTGGTTGTTTTTCAAATAATCCTGGACTAACAAACTTAGTTTGTCACGATATTGAGCTATTAAATAACGAACCAATACAAATAAAGCCATACAGACTGTCACCCCCCCGACAGACTGAAATTCTCAAAAGGGAAATACAGAAAATGCTCGATCTTAAAATTATAGAGCCGGGAGAATCGGACTATACATCTCCCATGATTTTGATAGAATCTTCATCAAAGGATCCTCGGCCTTGTATTGATTATCGTAAACTCAATGCTGTTACTAAAACTGAATACTATCCTTTGCCTAATATTGAAGAACGTATCGAAACTGTAGCAAAAGCAAAATATATTACCCTATTAGATTTATCTAGAGGCTACTGGCAAATTCCGTTAACAGAAAGAGCCCAAAGATATGCAACATTTGTAACTAGTTTTGGAAGTTTCAGGCCTCTACGTTTACCCTTTGGATTAAAAAATGGCCCCATATTTTTTTAGCAAAGTTATGACTAATGTCCTGGCTGGATGCGAAGGTTTCGCTGTACCATACCTGGATGACATTGCCATTTACTCAGAAAACTGGGAAGAGCACCTTAAAAAAACTTAACTTCTGTTCTAGAGAGAATACAGAAAGCAAATTTACGACTAAAACCATCAAAATGTAAATTTGCACAAGATCAAGTGAGATACCTAGGCCATGTTGTGGGACAAGGACAACGAACCCCGGATGAAGTAAAGATCCTGGCTGTAAAGGAGTATCCTACACCTAAAACCAAAACAGAAGTACGTGCTTTCTTAGGACTGGTAGGGTATTATCGCCAGTACATACCGAGATTTTCGGAAATTGCTTCACCCCTCACGGACGCTTTGAAGGGGGTAACAAAAAAAGGAAATATACAATGGTCTGAAATATGTGACAAGAGCTTTTAAAAATTTAAAAGAGTTGCTATGCAAGAAACCAATTCTGTATGCTCCCGACTTTGATAAAAGGTTTATTATACAAACCGATGCCTCAGACAATGGCATGGGTATAGTACTATGCCAATTAGATGATGAACAACGTGAACATCCTATCTTGTATATAAGCAAAAAATTTACTAAGTTTGAAAAGAATTATTGTACTACTGAAAAGGAGTGCGCTGCTATCATCTACGCTATCAAGAAACTGCATTTTTATCTGGATGGTCAGCAAGAATTCTTGATTCAAACTGATCATAATCCTTTGGTCTGGCTACAATCCAACGCCAAATGTAACTCTAGATTGATGCGCTGGGCACTCTCATTACAACCTTATAATTTTAAGGTCATTCATCGCAAAGGATCTTTGCACAAGAACGTAGATGTTCTGAGTAGAATTAAGTAATGTAACTCTTAGTGTATGTAACCACGTTTAGAATTAATTTTATTGTTTAATGTATGCTCAACTAATGTGTTTGAACGTTCTCCATTTCTTTCTTTTTAAATGTGGTGTAAAAGTATTGTTTAAAACTTAAAATTTTTTGGCCTGAAATTTAGAAATTTATAAGAGAAATAACCTTTGCTCTTTAAGCAAATGAGCAAGCCGAGCTTATTAAACTGTCAAATTTTACAGAACTTTTCCCTTCGGAAAAAGTCTCTCTCCGTTGGGGGAGAGGTTGTAACAGCTTTAAATAGTATTAAAATCTTGTAGTTTAAATAATTTAAATAGATGAACATTAAGTTATTTGTGAATGGCAATATTCGAAACCAGACTCGAGTGCCACGTGCGACTCTCGCACGAAGAATGTAATTTATTTTTAAATGTGAGAATATGTTTTCTCTTTCTTGTTTGTATGTCGCCATTTTTTTGAGTGTTAAATAAAAGTTATTGCTGTGTTCCATCATTGGAATTGCTTCATTTCGTCAAAGAAGTATCACAGCATAAGGAAAGAAACAATATTCTAAATGATATAACTGAGGAAAAATAAAATCACTCTTGCCTCTAGTTCGAGATAACAAAAGTGTAACTGTTCAAAATTCTCCATCTATCAAGTATGGGTATCAAATATTGCATTTGTATACACATTTTATTTTCATTATTAAACATGCAATTGTTCTAAACATAAACCATTTCATTTTTGAGAGTTTATGTTTAGAAAATTTTGTGCTGATAGATTCAAAATTGAAATCAAACACACATAAGAAAATCCTGTCTAGCAAGAGGCCAGAACACATTAAGCTTTTTTCTTAAAATTTTTTCAAAATATTTTCTCCGCAACCTAATGGTTTCAATAATTAAAATAACAATATAATACTTTTTCAATATTTTCACATTTCACTTGCAGTTTTACATGTAAATATATACCAGGTGGCCATAATTAAACTCACAGTGCTCACAGTGTTCTGTAGCATGATCTATTTGCGAGAATGACGCCACATTTTGTAGGAAGATTAAACAAGGCGGGGGACGAAGGATTCCGCGAAAAAAAAAATTAGTTCCAAAAGTCACTGCTAGGGGAATATTTGGCGCTGTGTAATAGAAAATATAGTGTTAACAAATGCAAATCAATATGGAAATTACCTTTTATTTTACATTCAAATGAGGTTCAATGTGGCTGCCGTTGTTGTGGACCACATATTGCATTCTGTGCACAATATGCACAACAGCAAAAAGTAACATGTCTGCAGGAATCTCCCGTACAGTCCGCGATATGTTATCCTTCAACGTAGCCAGCTCCTGGACCACTCCTTGATAGACCTTGGACTTAAGGTAACCCCATAGCCAGAAGTTGCATGGGGTAAGATCAGGAAACCGAGGTGGCCATGCAGTTGGAAAGTAGCGGCTAATGACTCTTTCTGTTGTGAATTTCTGTCGTAGCATCTGTTGCCCCCGTACAGCAATGTGTGGAGGGGTTCCATCTTGCACGAAAATAATTTTCCCCAGGCATTGTCTTCACTGAAATGCCGGAATGACAAAGCTGTTCAACATGTGGCGATATTTCTCTCCGGTAACAAATCAGGTTTCTGGTCCTGTCGGGGTAATGTTCTCATAGAAGAATGGACCTACAATAAATTCCGCTGTGAACCCACACCAAACAGTTGCCTTTGGTGAATGTAAGGGAATTGCAGTGACTGCATGTGGTGATTTGTCATCCCAAATTCGGCAGTTCTGAGTATTCACAGTTCTATTCAGGTAAAAGTGGGCCTCGTCTCCCCATAAGATTTTCCACGGCCAAGCATCATCTACCTCCATTCTGGCAAGAAAGGTGACAGCAAAAGTCAATCGCTTATCATGGTCGATGTACAGTAACTCCTGTACACGGCTGATCTTGTACGGATAGAAGTTGATAATCTTTCGTAAAATTTTCCATACCGTACTGTAAGGCATATCCATATTCTGAGCTACTCCACGAGTGCTAGATGGGGCAGCAATTTTGTCTGGTCCTCTGTCGACAATCGCCATGGCAACTGCTTCGATTGTATCCTGTGGTACAGGATACAATTTGTTTTTTCGTCTTTCTGCCTGATTGAACCTTCAGAGAACCTGTTTTCTCAAACATCGCAACCATTGCTTTTAGCCCATTAAGCTGACACAGGACCGTTACCTTTACGCATTTTTTTTTGGCGTGTTTCTAAAAGCACGAAGAGCGGCTGACGCGTTGGCACTGGTTGAGGTAAAAGAATTTGACCAGTAACGCACGCTCAACTAAAGAAGGAAACATTGCACATAAACTTTCAATCCGATTGATTTCGAAACGTAACACATTGCCTTTTAAAACCCAAGCAGCTGGCACTGTGCGAATGGATGTAAAAGTGCAAGTTTGAATAAAGAACTTCTGCTCAGCGTACGTGATATTGCAGATCACGAGACTTTATCAGTGTTTATGTAGATTTTTTTACGCTTTTTTAAAAGTGTTGCCATATTGCACTTGAACGAAATCAGAAAATGTGCATAAAAAGGTAATTTTATTCCGTATTAATTTGCATTTGTTAACACTCTATTTTCTATTACACAGCGCCAAATATTCCCCTAGCGGTGACATTTGGAACTAATTTGTTTTTTCACGGAATCCTTCGTCCCCCCGTCTTGTTTAATCTTCCTACATAATGTGGTGTCATTCTCGCAAATAGATCTAGCTACAGAACACTGTGAGCACTGTCCGTTTAATTATGGCCACCCAGTATACATATATATAGTAAAGTGAGTGTTTTTCCTCCTTTCCTAATAAAAAATATAAATAATCAGTTTCCTATTTTTATTAATTAAGCTTCCTCCTTTGGTGTGCATACATGTATGAAATGTCTTGCAAGTCAGAAAAGTTCTGATCAAAGAACTCATTTTGTAACTAAAAATCACATTTCCATTTAAAAATATATTTTGCAAAACTTTATTTCCATTTCAAAATTTATTTATTACCTTGTAAATAAAAAGCAAGGAATGAAATTAATCAAATACATCAATATATATATTTTTAAATTGATAATGTGACAAAAGATAAGCCATTTTCATATAGGATACCAAATTAGAATTACTAGATTTACTTTTAAAGAAAAAAGTAAATGAAACTTTTATAAGAAAAGTGTAAATTAAATATTTACTGTGTAGTAAGAAACACATTTAACAATGAAAGAAGTGAAGTTGGTTTTATATAAAATTTTATAAAATAACAAAATCGTAAAATTTCACCTTCAGACATTCTTCAGGTCTTTTACGTTTCTGTATTTCCTTCTCTGATAATTTCAAAGCTTTAGCTAACTCTTTCTCTTTTCTTTTTTCTTCTCTTAATCTAATTCTTTCTTCTTTTTCTATGTTCTTGCTATCTGGAGACTAAAATAAAATGCAAAAAAACAAGTGCATAAATAAATACAAATACATTAAATTTGGAGAATACATTAAATTTCATTTCAATATAACAACTATTTAAATAATATATTTTATCATTCAATCTGTCATTTCTAGAAGTGCACCAACTTAACTTTCAATAGGAAAAACACTTCTATAGATCCACACTTAAATGCTACAATCTGGATGTATAGCTACGTTCTGAAGATTATCTATTTTCTCATAGTTTTGGAGTTGGATTATCTTTCCTTCAAATACCTGTAGTACTTAAACATTATTTGGTACCTTCGGATTACCAGCACCCCTATGAAATTTATTATCAACTTATAGGTGACTTTCTGAATCGGACATCTGATATGGCTATATGGCTCATACATACTGTTCTGTTTATGAAAAATAAGAAAAGAAATATTTTGTAAGAAACAAGAGAAGAAAGCGATGTATCTAAGAAACAAAAAATCTTACACAGATTACTGTGTATTTCACACTGCTGTGTCATAATTGTGCAAAAAATCTATATATAAATTACTGTGTATCAATACACAGATTGCTGTGTATTTCAGCAAAACAGATTGATGTGTATAAGGGAAGAACAGTGTGTACAATGCTAAGTTTATAAAAATCTCAGTGTTTTTTTTTTTTTTTAATACTAATTGCTGTGTATATTGAAAGAGCATGCAAAAAAGAAAAATTACATAAGGATTTCTTGAAAAGGGTTTCATTGTGGGTGTTTCTTGCTATTTTTAATTATAATGACCCATTTCTCTTTTGTGGAATTCTTAGTGCACCATCATTTTAAAAATGCTGCTGCTTTTTTATATTAACTTAGCGAAAAGTAACATCAGTGAGTTGGGGAGTTTTTAGAAATGGGGTTTATATGATCATAAAATACCTTTTGTTTATTGCATGGTACAGACATATTTAAAGACACTGCAATTTTTGATTTGAGACTAGAAATTTCATTTTTGAAACAGGTACAGAACATATCATTTTTCAAATAATCTGCTTCCTAAGACTTTAGGAAAAAAATGATAATCTTTTTACTTAAAATTAAGAATTGATTCCCCTTCACTATTAATTGCATATTTTACACATGATAATGTTAACGTCCACTTTTTCTAGTATTTGTTTATTACAGAAAAATTTCTTTTGGAAAAAGCAAATAATAACAATAAATATATAAATTATCTACACTGTTCATCTTTTCAAAATATAACAGAAAATAATTTAGTTTTAAAATGATAATATTTTGAAACTAAATCATTTTTTTTAACATTTTATTAATTTTTTTTTATCAGAAGCTTTAAAAATGTACAAATAAATTTTTAGAAATTGCAGATTTAAAAATCTGGCTTTTAAAAAAGTAATTGCTAATATAACTCAAATTATAAATTCCAAATTACAGCTATTTTCAATATTATCTTCCACATATAAATTATATTTGGAACAATTGCATAAAAATTTCTGTTAGAACAAAATAATAAAATAATCACAAAAATATAAAGTAAAATTTTGCTCCACAAATAAATAAATAAAAATAAAATCAACATACTTGTTTCTCAGCTATTTTCCTTCTTTTTGCTGTTTTAGAAAGAACTTGATTAGATGTCAATACTGGCTCAACTAGTACAACTGGCTCACTTATAAACTGGAAAAAAATTAATATATTAAAAATTGTTTAGCAGAACCTGGAACAACTGCAGCTAATGTATACTTAAGAGCAGGGATATCTCTTGATGAAATTATGACAGTGATAATCAAAAACTGTAAGCTTATCTCTTTTAGTAAATTTAAATTAGTTATAGGAATATTTAGCATGTAAAAATGTCTGTGCTGAGAAGAGTATTCTAAATGCCCCATGCTCTAAAATTCATTTAGCTGGAAAGGTGAATTAAATTAAATATATTAGTTAGAAATCTGAACATTTTCCAACTTATGTGTTGGAAACTTTCAGCTTAGTTTGAAAGATGAAAGAACTAATTAAATTTTATATTCCACATCAATCATAGCTTTGGATGCAAGATAAAATTACTGCTAATACTATTTTGTGATGCATCACAAAATGATTTATAGAGTTGTAGTATGATATTACTTAATTTATATGAATAAAGTTTTTGGAATTATGTAGTTTGTTGATATCCCAATTTGGTATTTATGCATTACACATTGTCCCAATAGAAGAAGGCGAAAAAACTGCAAATTTTTACTTTAATAGATAATAAAAAAATTAATATACAGAAAAATGAATTCGAAAGTGGGACTGATTGCAAAAGAAGAAGTAAAATTCTGCATAGCACTATAGATCACTAAAATAGTTTAAAATGGTTTCAGCATATAACTCAGCTCAGATTGTTTTAAAAAAAGGTTAAATTTTAGCTGAAATATGCCTAAGGTGTCATTTTCTTGCTGTATTATTAAAGTGAACCATTTCCACAATTGTATTTGCTAAAATAGAATAGCAAAGATATGGCTACTTTAAGAAAAAGACTTTCTCAAAACAATTAAAACAAAGTTGTTGCTATAGCTGGAAAATGTGTTCAAATGATATACAGCGTCTCACAAAAATGATTGGACACAACAATATTTGCAGCTTTTTTTTTAGTAGGAGAAAAGCTTTGCAGTAAACTAATAAAGAATATTTTCCCTTTGAATACATATTTTCTTAGCTATCTCTTTGTACTGAATAAATTTGGAAAAACAAAATGGTCTATTTAAAAAAATAGCCTTTTAGACTGAAATGGAAGAAAAAAATACCACAAAATTAATTGGACATTTCCATAATATCTAATTAAAATCATTTGCAATAAATAAAAAAATGAAATTTTATGGAATTAATTTGGATAAAGAAGCTTAACAAAACTCTAAAAATTGATTGCTTTTATAATTCAAATTTTTTTAAGAAAATATTCATTAATTTAATGTTTTTTTGCAATGGCTCGGTCACTAAAGGAAACATCATTAGAAATCCTCAGATTAGTTATTGATTTGCATCAAAAGAAAGAATTATTACCATTAGAAAAATTGCCTATTTAAAACCTTATTTAAATGATTCTACAATTTTCGGTATCATTATGCGTTATAAGCGACAGAATCGTATTCAAAACAAAAGAAGACCTGGAAGACCATCTAAGTTATCTCATGGAATGAAATGCTTTATTCTAAGAAATATTAAAAAGAATCCAAGACTGAGTGCTCCTTAAACTTACTGTGGAATGTCATGAATTACATGGAATATGTGTAAATCCAGAAACTGTAAGAATAGTAATGCGATCTGCAGGATATCATGGGCAAGTAGCACACAGAAAATTTTATGTCAGCTGAAAACTGAAAAAAACTGAAAAAAAAAAAAAAAAAAAAAGCTGAAAACTTGGCTTCACTTTTGCAAAATCAATGAAACAAAGGACACCTAATTACTGGAAAAAAAGTGTTGTTTGCTGATGAAAGTAAATTTAACATATTCGGCTAAGAGCGTTGGTGTGGAGAAAACCAAAAGAGGAGTTTCAGAAGCAAAACTTAATATCGAATGTTAAATATGGCAGAGAAGGAGTTATGGTACTGGAATCTATGGCACATTCTGGTGTTGGTAATATAGAGTTTGTAGATGGTATAATGGATCAGTATAAATACCTTGACATCTTGAAGTGAAATTTGGCATCATCAGCACAAAAACTTAACAAAGAAAGTAGTTTTAAATTCTACCAGGATAATGATCCAAAGCATACTGCGAACAGTGTCAAACTCTGCCTTTTATATAAGTGTCCAGAAGTAATTAAGGCACCACTTCAATCACCAGATCTTAACCTTATCAAACATATTTGTCAGGAAACTAGAATCAAAAATTTGAAAACAGAGCATATCTTCGTGGCAGCAACTGAAAGCAGTGATTCAAGAGGAATGGCATAAAATAAATCCAGAAAAAAAACTGTGCAGTCAATGCCCAAAAGATTAAATAAAGTGAACAAGTGTAAAGGTTATCCTACAGAATATAAAGAAGCAGAAACAATGTAAGTTTTCTCAGTTTTGGCTGTTATTAAAAGTGTCTGATTATTTTTGTGAGAATATTTTTCCTCATTAAACAAATGATATTTATTTTTTAATTTAATTTTCATCTTTTCAAAAATGTATTTATGATAAGAAAATGTTGAATTTATATATAATTACAATAAAATGTCTTTCTTTTTGTTTTAATTTATTTTAGTTTTTATGTTCATTTAAGAATTACAAAAAGCCAAAGTACCCTACAAATTTTTGTGAGCCACTGTATCTATTTTTCTCTCCTTCTCTTTCACTTACAGAAATAACCAGATATTATAATTTTCAATGATTTAGTTAATAGCTGTTTAGGCAATAATTAATGTAATTTAAGAAACTAACACTATAAAATATTAACATGGTAAGACTACTGGGAAAAAAGTTTACTTAACATGATTTATTAATCCATTAGTTCAAGAGCACTAAGCAAAATTTTATTAGGGAAATACAATAACAGGTATAATTATAATAACTCCATCAGTTAGTGTAAGGTTGAAAAGAAAAATATAAGCTTCATTAGAGAATAAAATCATCAAAGTTAATAAAACTTGATTTTTCAATTTTTATTTAATGTCTAAACCAACAACTAATTTCTTTTTTTCAAATATTTGAACAAAGTTCAATTTTCAATATTCTCTACCAGTTTTCAAGAAGACTAAGTTTCTTCTGCAGTAGAAAAGACCAGTCAGAAGAAACAGGTTTCTTCCACTAAAGAGAATAAATAAAGGAAACTAATTTTTGAATTTATTTCACGTTTTTATTATTATTTCTACTATATTTTATTTATAAGAAGCTATATTATATCAGCAATTTAAATAATAATCCAACTCAGCAATTTAAATAATAATCCAACTATATAATCCAACTAGTTTCCAACTAGTATATATAATCCAACTAGTTTCAATTGTAAACTTACAAGATTTGTATATATATAATATATAATATATATACTACTGCATGCAATAATATATTTCATTCCTAACTTGGTCAAATGCTTTACATTTTCTTATAGAAATAATAAATACTTATTTTCAAATAAGTTAAAACTCTTATTAGTAAATTTATCCCCTTTATCAACTCTACTGTTTGTTCATTTCTTCTCTTTTCTCATGGATTTTTCCAGTTTCTCCTACTGTCCTGAAAGATCAGTGGAAGAAACTCATCTCTGGTTGCAGTAACTAAGGACCATTTCATCAATGATTAATAATCTTTGAAGAGTGCCATCTATATCAGAATGTTACAGTTCACTAAAATCTGATGTGATGTTTAACAAATCACATTTAAGTATACTATTCAATAAGAATTAAACTGTCAATCAAAGTGAGAATCATTTTCAACATTTTCATGAAAATTCTCAGTGTTACTTTTCTCTTGTTCATTGTCTTTTCATCATTATTGATTTGAGAAGGTAATTTACACATCTAACAAATAATTTCCTTTTAATGTGCACTGTCTTCAAAGACCCATACTTTACTTTCTTGGCATATTTAAATGCCAAAAAACTACATGTACATTTTATCACCTGTTAGGAATTTTAAAACAATGTACTGTCCACTATCATTAAATAATGTTAGGATTTCTTGATTGATTCTGACATAATTTGCATTTTGCTGTTAATTTATGGAGACATTGACAAATTAATTTTTTTTATACACAGTTCTTCATGAATAATTTTGTGTATAGCTGTATATCCAATGTAAATAGTATCATTTTATTGTCAAAGTCTTATCATTGATTAATATTTTTCATATGGCTGACACATTTTCTGGGATTACTGCCGATAAAGGTTTTTTTGCGTGTCCATCCAGTAGAGAATTTAGACCTCTATGAAGTCCTTTAAAACCACCTGACTACAATGGCACAAGATGAAATTTCATTTCCATGTGCTAACTGTAGATGAAGGCATTCTTCTTAATTTAATCATACTTTGAAACTATAGAAAACTATTGCATAATACGTTCATGTGTCAGCTTTCTTTTCCTTTGTTCCAGAATCTATTCTATGATAGATAAATAGCAATTACCGACACAAATTATCATCTGCAAACACAAAATAATTCCTATTTACACAGCCAACAAATAATTTAATTTTAATGTGTACTGTCTGCCCATCTGAAAAATTTTAGTTACCTACATAAAGACTACTAAATTTTTGCCTCAGAGCACTCACAATGCTACTCACTTGAATAATTAACGATACTTAATGAAGTTTTAAAATTTTTCAAAAACACTTCATCATCGACAGAACCACATTTCATAATTTTATTTCAATATTAAAAAATACTCACTTTCCCGATATCCCATTCTTCATCAGATTTATTATTAATGTCTTTTTCTTCAGCACAGTTAGTCAATTTAGTGGCTTTGCAATCTTCTGGTATCCATTTCACACTCTCAGGCTCAGCTTCGCTATCTTCACTCTCTGATATAGAATGCACATGAGAAACCATGCATTTTGAAAAAGTTTTTCTTAAAAAAAGAAAAATGGCAGAGATTATTGATTTTAAACTTAAATTAAAATGAGAAAAGATTTCACACATATAAATATGCAATTAAAATTAATTATAAACAAATATTAGAATTGTTAGAATGTAGAATTATACACAAAATATATTTTACTGAAAAAAAGTGGAATGGTTACCATACTTCATTAGAAAATTCAGTTTAGTACAACTGCATAAAAATAAAGACATGCAGATTTAGTACAAGAACGAATGACAGCCATAAACTAAAGCCAGATAAAGATACGTTTATGCTTGAACAGTCAACTTTTATCAAGAACATCAATATCTTATAACAATTTTTTTCTTTCAGGCTTAAGAGTTTTTTCTTGACATTTTTGACATGTTACAAATTAAGCACATAGCACTTTTTTTTTAATGCTTCTTACAGAGATTTATTTAAATTTCAAATCCTACGTTTCTAGCCAGCAGAAAGATTGCCTTCCATCTGTTTAGTTTAGCTGATATGCCACTTCATGATTATAAGCATAATCAATGCTTTTTTTTTTTTTTTTTTTTTTTTTTTTTTTTCCTGCAGCTTACAGTTACCACTCCCTTTCCAATCAAAGACTGCTAATGTATAGCAAAGCTAAGAAGCATTTCATGATATTTTTTATAACACTCTGCGAGCATAATGCATCTACCCTGAAGGGAAGATTTTGTATGTAGAATCCTTAAAAGATGGGATACTTCCTCCTCCAATCAGCTGCTGTTCAAAATGAAACCCTCATTCAATTACAATTACCTTTAGAGGACTGTTTCTGTTAAATTTAGCATAATGAAATTTTGTTCCTCTGAAACCAAGTGCAGACAACGAACTCTGAAAACACTGCCTTGCAAAACACTTATCAAGAACTTGCCGTGATGGATTTAGCTGTTTCGTATGTTAGAAATAAAATAATGCAGAACCCTATATTTGGAATTGCTAATAATGAAGATAAAGGATCAGATTTTATGCCACCCTTTATTTGTTTAGTTATAATTATATCAGAAATAAATACTTAAGAGACTGAGCACTATGTGCAGTACCCACTACTTTGAGAACTCCCTGGTTAATATAAATAAAAATTGCCATGGTATAAGATAAATAATTTCAGATGAAAAAGCTTCTAATATTGAAGCTGCTGAACAACTTGCAGATGAATTCATTGAACTGATTACTAGTGAATAATTATCTCCAGAACAAATTTACAATACTGATGAAACTGATCTTTTCTGGCAATATGTACCGCGAAATACCTTGGCAACATCTACGGAAAAGGCTCCAACTGGTGTCAAAGATTCCATAGCGAGACTAACAATTTTAGCGTGTGCAAATGCTGCAGGAACGCACAAGTGCAAACTTTTCGTAATCGGAAAACATGCACGACCTCAAGCATTTAAAGGAGTAATGATTTTCCCCATTATATATCATGCAAATAAAAGAGCATGAGAGCATGGATGACACAAGCTTTGATGAATGATTGGTTTGAAAGTCATTTTATACCCAAGGCTCGGCGACATTTGAATTCAGTTTACCCAATGACTCAAAAATAGTCCTGATTGTTGACAACTGTTCGGCGCATACTTCACTTAAAAGTTTTAGTGAAAGATAATGTATCCATATTATTCTTTCCTCCAAATTGTACGTCTATCATTCAGCCTATGGATATGGGAATAGTGCACGCACTGAAATGAAAATATAAAGTAGCATTTTTAAAATCTATGTTAAATTTATTAAACAACGGCAAGACTATTCAAGACTTTTTGAAATTTTTTAGCATAAAATCTGCTATGTGGAGCATCGCAAAATCGTGGGAGGTTGTGTCTCCAGATAAGTTAAAAAAATGCTTGGCATAATTTATGGCCAATGCTTGGCATAAATTATGGCCAGCTACCATATTTCATGGTAAACACGATGAAGATGATAGCCGCAAATTTGAAGGTTTTCGGACATCCAAACTAAAGGTGAAATTTTCCAGTTATTGGATTTTGTAAAGAAATGTGGAGAAGCGGTAATAAATGGAGATGATATAACAGAAGATTTTTATTGTGATGACAATGCCCCAATCATCAATCAATTAACGGACGGCAAAATCTGTAGTATGGTTCTAGATCCAGAAAATACCGCTGCCAATAGTGAAGAAAATGACAGAGAGGTTATTGAAAATGAAAAAATTTCAATTGACAAGTTAGTTGGTATTCTCAACACAGCAATTACAGGACTTGAACAGAGGAACTTTGTAAGTGAACAAGAAATTATGTCTGTTTATAGAATTAAAGAGAAAGTATTAGCACAAAAAAAGAAGCAACTTAAACAACTTACATTGAAAGAAATGTTTAACAAAGTAAACAAATAAATATTAAGTTTTTTTTTTTTTTTTTTTTTTTTTTTTGTTTTGTTTTGTAAATTTTGATAACCTTTAGATCATAATTGCTCTTTATTTCATAAATTACGGTTTCATATTTTAATTGTATAATTCCTGCATGCCCTCTTACCAGATTTAAATTGATGATCTATAATCCAAAAAACCCCTAATCCAGAATCGCCGAAGTCCTGACAAGTCCGGATTACGTACTTTTTACTGTACTGCATTTGGAAGCAGAAGTCTTACATTGCTCGCAGATTATAAGGAGGTGGTTGTTGAGCTCAGAGTTGGTGCCCATGAAACCCCAGCTATGCTCAATAGGATTAATATCCAGAGAGTTAGGAGACTAAATATTACCTGGAATTCATCAGCTTAATTTGTGCCAAGAGCATTATCTTGCAGCAACAGAGGAGAAAGGAGCCAAAAAAAGCTACAATTAATCAACAGTGATTATTTGCCCAGGGCTACAGGTGTCATGGGTGTACTCCATAACAACCATCCGTCCCAGAGATGCCTAACAAAAATTTTCTCAAATCACAATACTAGCCAATTTACTTCTCATGCTTGTAAGTGCCAATCAACTAAAAGATCGTGTGCTTTCACATGAGCATTGACATAATGTAAAAGAAATAATTCATCTGACCAGGTAATCCATTTCCATTATGGTATCAGTCACGGTACAACCCGATATTCACATGAGCCAGTGGATATCATGACTGGATCATACACAATCCAATCATGATATTCACAAGCTCAGTATAGTCATAAATGCATATGATACTAGGATAACAAAGGCAAATACTAGGAGTTTCTCATACCCATAGCTGACAACCATTCATTCATTTTATTATACATATTTCAGGTTATTAAATTATTTATATTATTCTGATGTAAAATACATACAGTCAAAAGTCGTTAATCTGGACTCGTCGGGACTTCGGCAATTCCGGATTATAGATCATCACTTTAAATCTGGTAAGATGGCATACAGAAATTATAAAATTAAAAATATGAAACCGTAATTTATGAAATAAAGAACAATTATGATCTAAAGGGTATCAAAATTTATGAAATAAAGAACAATTATGATCTAAAGGGTATCAAAATTTACAAAAAAAAAAAGCTTAATATTTATTTGTTTACTTTATTAAATATTTCTTTCAATGTAAGTTGTTTAAGTTGCTTCGTTTTATGTGATAATACTTTCTCTTTAATTCTATAAACAGACATAATTTCTTCTTCAGTTACAAAGTTCCGCTGTTCAAGTCCTATAATTGCTGTGTCGAGAATACCGACTAATTTGTCAATCGAAATTTTTTCGTTTTCAATAACCTTTGTGTCACTTTCTTCACTATCGGAAGCGAATCATAATGACGAGGAATTTGATTTAAATCATATCAAAGACGGAATACATTGAGATGAAATACTACATTTAGTAAGGAATTATAAGCCAAATAAAATAAAAACATCTGCCCTGAAGATAAGGATAATGCTGACAGATCAAATTCATTGTGCGCCGCGGTATTCCCCCCCCCCTTCGCAGAGCAGCGTGAAATTGATAAACAGATTTCGGAATGGTTAGAGTAACAAAGGATATGCCTTTACTATTTTTTGCAGCAATTCCACTTTTTGTTTAATGGACTTCGAAACATACTTTCGCTTTGTAGATCCTTTACGTATTAGTAAATATATATCGGAAATTCTATTTGACATAATCGAAAGTTCAAGCTTACTTTTACGAAATTGCTCTAACAGTCTGCAAAAAATAATAAGCCGGATCCAATTCGAAGATTACGGAACAACGCAGTCTGCAGCATTAACTGAATTAGATAATTTTAGCTTAGCTTATACCATCCATTATACATTAAATGCGCATGCGTAAACGTATTATGCGCATGCGCATATTTGCAGCCGAAAGGTCTTATGTGCATGGGTCAACGCGACGCATGCGCAGAAAGTTTGTAGCTTTGAGGTCTGGATTATGGGTGTCCAAATCAACGACTTTTGACTGTATTAATATTTAATTATATTTTCTAAATTTTGTGCTCTTTGGTTAATTTCATTTTGTAGTTTTCTTACACTTTTATAAAGAAAAATTCCTAGATAGGGATGGAAAGCTTTTATTTAACAATACTTTAAAATATGATGAAAATAAAAAGTACTTATGTATTATTCCAACCACCATGAAACTGTTGTCAAGCACCATAAAATAGCAACAGTTCTGGATAATCATGATGTGACAGCACATTCATGACTTCTGTGCTTTTGTTTGATGCAACCCTGAGCAAGTTTTGATAAACCACCTTTTGTTTTTATGAGCAAAGATACAAATTAACTGTTATTGTTGTATTTTGCCTTACATTTTAAGAAAAATGATTAAAATTTGAGACCTGCCTTCTGCAGTATATCAAGCAGTAGATTATTTTCAAATTTATAGAATTCTATCATAAAAAAATAATATTAATAAACATGATATAGTCAGATGAATAAAGCTGACGAAACAATAATAAACTGGACAAATTAGCTGTGAAAAGTTTGCACTCGGAGCATTCTAAACACAGCTTCCAGTGAAACTAGAAGGCCTAACAAAATAGTAGAAAGTAACGAAAGCCTTTTAGTAAAGTGCAAAAATGAAGTGAGTCGATTACCGATTGTTTATTACATGAAGAGGCACCGATTCCTTTAGAATTCCATGGGAACAATTGATGCAACTTTGGTTATTTACTTGGAGTTAATATTTTTTCTTAATTTTATAAACAGTCAGAATTTCTTGTTCAATTACAGAGTTCCATGATTCATATCCTATAACTGTCAGGTTCAAAATTCCGACTAAACTGTCAAACGAAATCTTTTCATTCTCAAAAACCTTTCTGTTATTTTCTTCACTATCGGTAACAATATTTTCTGGATTTAAAATTATACGATAGATTTTTGCCATCTGTTAGTCGACTGCTAATTATAGCATTGTCATGACAATGGAAAACTTCTGGTATATCATCTTCATTTATTATCATTTTTCCATGTTTCTTTATTAATTAGAAAACTTCACATTCTACAGCATTCAAAATCTACATCAAAATAAGCTTATTGTTTTGCCTAATTTTGAAATCGCACTTTCTTGAGCTTGAACTGTATCAAACCTGCTATAGAAGGCAGGTATCAAATATGATTTTTCTCTACGTATCTTGCTATAGCTTGTAACAGCTTTAAATAGTATTAAAATCTTGTAGTTTAAATAATTTAAATAGATGAACATTAAGTTATTTGTGAATGGCAATATTCGAAACCAGACTCGAGTGCCACGTGCGACTCTCGCACGAAGAATGTAATTTATTTTTAAATGTTAGAATATGTTTTCTCTTCTTGTTTGTATGTCGCCATTTTTTTGAGTGTTAAATAAAAGTTATTGCTGTGTTCCATCATTGGAATTGCTTCATTTCGTCAAAGAAGTATCACAAGCTCCAGAATTAGAAAGTATTTTCAACACAAAATAAAAATTAATTTTGATAAGATAGCTAAGATGTAGAAATAATAGCCTGCAAAAAAATAATAAGCTGGGCCAAATTAGAAAATTAAGGAAAAGTGCAATTTCTACATTGCATGAGCTTTTTGGAATCTAATTCTTTTTTTCCCACTATTCCAATAAAGGAAAACTGTATAAGCAGCATCCCACTTTAAACAAATATATCTTCACATATTATTTATATTAGACAGAAAAATGTTCCCCACCTCCTCCACAAACATTCATAGGCTGGATGTGAGCTCAAGGTTAACATCAATCAACACTGTAATTCTTAATAAATGAACAATTATTTTAATACTGGACTTTATTTACAAAGTTGGATTCACCACCTTATTGCCTCATGCATTTAAATCAGTTTTGTATTGCTTCCTAACAAACAGCAACCCGAGGATGCTTCTCGAGCTCATACGTTCAGAACTATGCCCTCCAAACCTGGATGCTTACCTCTCCATTAAACCAAAATTATTCTTGTGCTCCGAGCAGATCATCTTTTCACAATGCAGTGAATTTTTCAGAGTCAAATGTGCCCCACCATTTCTTCTTTTTTCAGATTTTCTTAGGAGACTACTTAAGGAATCTTTAACCCTTCAGGTCTCTTCATGGGATCAAGTATGAAAAACTAGAAAGAGCTGCTAAGGAATTAACAGCTGAATGTTAATTTTAATACAAGTATCGATCGATCAATGTATTGTCATTAAAGTAACATACAAAAATCTCATGGCATGCCTGCCTGTTTTTTTTTTTTTTTTTTTTTTTTTTCCCCTCCTTATATATTATATTCTCATTTTGAAGACTTTATAATTACAGTGGTCTGGGGTTCTAGAAATTAGATTACTCCAGATATTTGGGTGTCCAGATTTCAGCTTTGTACTGTACTGAGAATAATGTACATAAACTTATGGAAAAAAATTAATACATTTGATTACAATATATGGTTAGAGTAGACTAAAGGGTACCCTTTGTATTATCATGAAGTTGTTTCTTCATTTATCGCCAAGTTGTTGATCGCTTATTGCCAAGTTGCCATTTCATTTTTGGTCACCTGAGTAGTTGAATGTTCCGTAAATACACTTTTTCCTAGAATTGAGCGCTCCTTTGACTTTTTAAGTGAAAATATATTGATGTGTACATGGACAAAGTCAAGGGAATGCACAATGCCTAGTTTGTGCAATTCTCTGATGTTTTTTTTTAAGTGAAAATAGGTCGACGTGCACATGGATAAAGTCAAGGAAGTGCGCACTGCTTAGCCAAAGAATTGCACAAACTTGGTATCCATGTACCGCCAAAAATTGTCAATTTTCACCAAGAGGTACCCATAAATATACTTTTACACAATATATTTTGAAAGTTAATCAATCCTTGAACTCTGCTGTTTTTGAGACTAATAAAATGAAATGAATAGGAAATCTATACAGAAGTAATAAGAATGACATGTAATGACATCATAACCTTGAAAGTAAATTTCTAAGTAATGTGATGCTTGGAAGATCTGTTTGTTTACTCCCTCTTCTGCTTCAGACTGCAACATATTTTTTAAATAACTAGAAAATTACCATATTAATATTGTTTAACATTTTTTTAAAGCCAAAAAGTTTGTTATGTATATAATCTGTGAAAATTATAAAACTCTATATATCCGGTACATTTGTAGATGTTGAAATTTTAAGAGAATGGACATCAAACAGTTGAACAAAATCATGCAATTTTTTAGAATCTGCGAAAAAAAGAGAAATAAAGTAGTAATTTTTATGCAAATTTGATTTTTTTTTTTTTTTTTTTTTTTTTTTTTTCCCCAATGATACCAGTTTCATCCTTTTTCTCCCAATTTTCACAGGTATTAACAATGACAAATCACCAAAACCTGATAATGAATGTCATTTTGGAAATATTTGTTCCCAAGCTCTTAGCTGTCAGGAATCTGGTCTCCATCAAAATAATTTAAATTAACTGCCTTCTTCATTATATGCAACCATAATATAATATATATAATGTATATATAATGATATATATAGACATTACATATATATATATTATATAATGTATATATAATATCTCAAGACCCCTGGCAGTCATTAAATAATATTCCTACATTTATATATTATATGCCACCTCTCATATCATTCTACCTAATGTATTTCCACAGGGTAGAGTTAACCATAATGTTTTGGTTGATCAATACATACAAATACAGAACATCCTGGCGAAACAATGAAATGAAAATTGTTAAATATTCAAAATGAATGTGAACATTAGAATGTTTCTCACATACAGAATGAGAAAATTGGTTCTCCCGAGCTTGGATGCAGTAGCAATAAGCTTCTAGAAATCGCTTCCAGCATTATACATCGTCATATGCTATCAAGTTGGTATTTTTATGGAAGCTAGAGGAATGTACAGTGTACATATATGTGAAACCACACCTCAATAAACTGTTAATAACATGACATAACTGTAAGTCCCTATGATAACTAATATAAAAGTATATAAAAATACGTATATGGGAATATTGATGGTGAGCCAATTTTTCCTGGACATATTTTGGGATACTAGTTCCTGTAAGTTAGTGGTAAGGTTATATGATAACATTTCACGGCAGTTTATATTAATATGATTTCAATAACATTAAAGTGCTAAACGAGTAAAAAATAAACTGTCGCCAACGGATTCTCTGCAATAATAAACTCTTAACTATCAAATTACCTTTTGTTTTCCCCATGCAACAATAATATCCTTTCCTTCAATGACGGTAGATTTTCAGTACTATCATCTGAATCAGATACGGCATCATATTTAGAGACTTTATCGCATACATTTATCACTTCTATATCCATACTTTGAGACCTGATTTATGCTGACACACAAAACTAATTATACCAAATCGCCGATACTGCATGTCAGTTTACATTACTTTCCCCGCACATGGGAATGTTGTCTAAACGAGAAGTCAAAATCACCATCTTAAAGCTCATTGGCTTACTTCAGGGACATGCGAAGCACATGTGTACAGGCGCCTAGGCTCATCCTGTATGTAACGCATGACGAAATGGCATAACTTTCCTAACATAACATGAGTGATGTTGGCAGAAAGTTTCAAAAGAAGGAATTCTCACAAGATGTTGCAATGGTGAAAGCCATTCGTATACCACCTCCGGAGAAGGTAAACTTCATAAGAAATTGAAATAAATTAAGCCCGGCAAATAGTCGTGGAGATTTCCTGTTATCCTATTGGTTAGTCATGGCGGGCGTTTCTAAATCGTTTTCTAATCTTCTGACTCTGCGAATTTTATGAGAAGCATAGCTGCTTTAAATCCTGTTTGTAGTTTTTCAGCTGAATTTTTTGCTGCTCTGATCTTTCCAATACATGATGTGATGGAAGTTAGGAACAGTGGCGTAGCTAGGGTGGGGCAAGGGGGGACATCTGTCTCCGGGCGCAGCATTCAGGGGGCGCCAAATTGATGTTACGAAATTTTAGAATGAAATTTTTCCGTTCTTGGCACAGAGAAAGGGGAGAAAAATCTTCAGTTGACCCCGGGCGCTGAAAATCCTAGCTACGCCTTTGGTTAGGAACGAGTGGATTTTTTCGTTTTGGATCCAATTAAGAGCATCGTAAAGGTCTTTCGGCGGGGAAGGGGTGATTTTTCCTTGCAATTTCTCGCTGTACGTAGCTTGAAAGGGTTTTTTTTTTTTCTTTGCTGGGATTGAGGCTGTCTTTGATCTGGGAAAATTTTCTTCGGATAATTCAGGAACTTTCGGCTGGGTGGACTGCTTTTCCTTTCAAACCTTTTCTTATATTGGCTGCAGCTTCTGTAGCTGCTCATGTGGCAGAGTCTGCAAAATAGGCACTTCAGGTTTCCTGGTGCATTCGTTACTTCTGTGTTGTCGAGCACACTTTACACATCTCACGGGATTACTGCTACGGTATTGAGAATGCCCGAACTGCTGGCAGCGGTAGCATTTTACTGGTCTTTTCTTGGGGTTGAATTTTTCTATAACGACGTTGAAGCTGAACATTTAGTGAGCTGGTAAATCGTATTTCCCTCGAGGGTTATTTTGAGTTCCAGGAGGTAGATGGGAAGCTTGATTTTTTGTCCTTCGTGACTTTTTTAAAACTGCTTAACGTTTTTAATAGGGTAGTTCCTGAACATCAGGTCTTGAACTATGGCAACTTCTTGAATAGTAGCGATCATAATCCAGAGGAGGGATCCATATCAATCGTTTTCAAAGTCGATAGCATTGTATAAAATCTAAGCTAATCTAAAGTTGTCTATTCATGGCACTTTAATAGCGTCAAGTGTAAGGCCTCTCATTGTTAATGAAGGCACGTAGCCTAGGGCAAGAAAGAGAAGCAATGAGTCATCCCTTGAGAGGAACGATGCTGACACGAACCCTTTCAGGAAGCATATACCGTATTTACGCGAATCTAATGCGCATCGTTTTTGGCCAAATGTAGTACTCAAAATTGGGGTGCGCATTAGATTCGAGTGCAAAGTTCGCCGATGACGTCAGCAGTTCGCCGATGACGTCAACAGAATTTAAATCGTAACAATGGATTACTGTATTTCTCGACTACATTTACCGTTACATTTATCGTTGACACATTATTGCATACTGCAGAGTACGTAGTCACGAAATGGAGGGCAAGCAGAGAAGAATGTCATATGACGCTACTTTCAAACGTAAAGTAATTCTTTATCCTGAAAGAAATGGCAATAGAAAGGCTGGGAGAGAGTTTAACGTAGCTGAGAGCAATGTTCGCTTGTGGCGGCAACAGAAATTGGCACTGTTTGCATCTAAAACTAGTAGAAAGAAATTCACTGGCCCTCGCAAAGGAAGACACCCTAAAATTGAAGAAAAGGTTTTGGAATTTGTACGTGAAAGGAGGAAGAATGGACAACCTGTGACTAACGACACTATAAGAAATAAAGCAAAAGAGGAGGCTGAAGTTCTTGGAATACCGAAACGAGAGTTTAAAGCTAGCCGTCGATGGGTGGATCGGTTTATGAAGCGGATAGGCTTATTTCTAAGACGCCGTACAACAATATGCCAAAAGCTTCCTGCAGATTTTGAGGGAAAACTACTAACATTTTAGCGGTATGTCATCACACTTCGGAAGGAAAAGAATTTTTCAATGGGGCAAATTAGCAACGCTGACGAGACGCCAATTTGGTTTGATATGCCTCGTAACACCATTACGGAGAAGGGGACTAAAAATGTTATCATCAAAATAGTGAATAAAGACGTTTACTATTAATCACTGATTGTAGAAACTGTTAGCTAGATAGAAATGTTACCATTTATTTTCATGTTCATACTTTACGATATGTACCGTATATACGGTAGTGGTAATTAACAATGATTGTTTCACATAACAATAGCCCACTAATAGGTTAATTCTATGTTCTGTTACTTTATGTATAAATCCATTGTTGTATAAAATATGGTATCTAAATTTAAATAAAATTATCATACCATTGATTGATAGTTTATATACAAATCCATTGTTGTATAAAATAAGATTCAATAAATTCCTCATACCATTGATGCGCATTACATTCGCCGACAAACAATTTTTTTATTATTTAAAGTTTTAAAATGGGGATGCGCATTAGATTCGCATAAATACGGTAAGTCTTTACTATGTGATTCTTTAGTTGGTGATCCTGTTCTTAATGACTCTAGTGTTGGTGTTGCAAATGATGTTAATGCCAGTCAATCTAAAATTAGTAATGTAGTTTGTAAACCTAGCACTAGCGCTCATGCCAACTAGTGGTAGTTCTGATTTAGGTAAATACTTTTCTAGTATTTCAAAAATTTCTGTAAGTAGTAATTGTGTTGCATTTTATATGTGTTGGGTACGTGCTCAGTGATGATTACAAGATGTACACAAACATCGTTTATTCTACATTACTCATCAAAGATAATAATAGACACAGTTACAGTTACATATATAACATCTCCCTTTTTTATAAAAAATAATAATAGTAGTAAAATTAAACATATTCTTTTAAATAATAAGGTTTCTTAACAGTTCTACCAGATCGAGTGACGTAGTTATGTCCATTTGAAAAATTTGATGATACTATACCTCTTTTGCTATTTGGTGACACAACAGTTCTGTTAGATTTTGAAGGACTTACAGGCACATCTAAATTTGTAGTGCTTCTACTATTTTCATGTATCTCGGGTTCATCTATAACTTCATTCTGATAGTTGTTTTGTATTGCAAACTCTTCTTGATTAGTTCCTTTAAGAAGGTCTCTTCTGTTCCTTTCTACAATTCTTCCATCTGTTCTTATAATCCTATATGAACGTGGTCTTGAAATTTTTCATAATTTTCCCTCTTTCATTTAGTTTTTTCCCTTTCTCTTTTATGTAAACATGATCTCCTGTTTTCAGTGGTTTTAATGGTCTTGCATTCCTATCATAATAACTTTTTTGTAAGGTTTGTCTCTTCAGTAAATGTTGTTTATGGTCTTCATATCGTTTAGCTGGGACAAAATTCTCTTTTATAGGCATCAATCCATTTACTTTTCTTCCAAACATCAATTTTAAAGGTGACTTAATTTCATCTGAAATAGGAGAGTTACGATATTCCAGTAAAACTAAATATGGATTAAAGATAATAATAGATACAGTTACAGTTACATATATAACAGTAATAAGTCTAAAAAGCGCACTCAGGTGCAAGATAAAGATGGTTTCACTTCTCCTAAAAACCGCTCAACCTAACAAAGTTAGCAGAAAACTCCCGGGAAAGATTCCTTCACTCGTATATAACAAAGGTGTCCATCTTCTTACCCAGATGAAAAGACTTCTTTTATCTCTTTGTCCCTTGGAGTGACCTTCGAGGCTGCAGCCGGAATCATTAAACAACGTTGCAACAAGATTTCACCTCTCGACTGAAAAAAGTATTATTGCAATCTGAAATCATTCATCCTAGACAAAGAACCTCCATGCGACCTTATCAAAACTCTTCTCCTCATAGAATTTTCCTAGACTATGGTTAGGAATATTCGAAGTACTTTTCACTGCTTTTAGAACAAAAGTGGTAACCAGAGAAGACAGTTACTTTAACTTGCACTTATTCCTACATAACATCACCTTAAGACAGATAAACATAAAAGCAAAAATACAACAAAAAGATTTAGCTACTGCTATTGTCTTCCTCACACAAAGTATATTTCTCAGTTTTACAAAATGCTAATACTCAAGATAAAACATTTGATTCTAACCATTTTGAAAAAGAAACACAGGATGCAAAAAATTTTGAATTAAAAAAATACAATGCCAAAACACTACAAAAATCCTCTACAGTTATCCCTTCTCTCAAATTAGTCTGCGTTGAATCAGCCAAAGGAGAAGGAATATCAACTTCCCCCTCGATATCCGCCATGACCTCCTCCATTATCAGACTCACAAACTCAGAGCGCCGGTGATAAGGTGCAACCAATTTGACATGATAAATGGTATCAGTGTTACACTTACCCAGATTCTCTACGGCAGGGTTTCTTAAACGTTTTTCAATCGCGACCCCATTTTATCAATGAGATTTTTTTCGCGACCCCATATTATTTACAAAAATTTTGTAGGACCCCACAAGTATTGCGCAAATCTGACATACGAGTGAGAGAAACTGTCAATTTTTTCACTTGTACTGTAATATACTATTGAAGTTTTAGGTCATTAACTTTTAATTTCTAGTTTTAAGACACAGGGCAATGTGAACATTTTAAATAAGTAACCGATGAAATGACACCGTCATGTGCAAAGCAAGGAAAATTATAAAATATTTACATATAATATGTGTATATATATTATGTGTTTATATCATAAATAATATTATAAAAAGAATGCGTCGAAACGTTTTCGTTTTTTACTTGTCTTTACTGTCTTATCTTGATCTATTTTCAGATACATTGTGTAAAAATATTTGGTAATTCTAAAATTATTATAATAAATTAAAGAAATATCAAAAACAGCTAAAATTTTTGCCGACCCCCTGCTGCAAGTTCCCGCGATCCCCAGTTTAAAGAGGTTATTCCCTGCTAGACGGGACTTTTCTGA